GGGCCCCCCGGCTCCGGGGGGAGGCGAAGGCCCCGTGGCCCGTCAGCCTTGCTCCCGGCACGTTGGCCAAGCCCGAGTCTTCTCGGCATCCACTCGTGTGCTTTGCCCCTGGCCACACACCCCCAGGCTGCCATGCTCCGAGCGCCAGCCACAGCTTCCGTGGAGCAGGGCGCTCCAGCTGTGCCTGCCTGGTGTGCTCCCCGTCCCCTGCTGCGCTGCAGTATCCCCCCACTCACCGTGCACAGCAAGCTGTTTGTGAGGCCCAGGGCTTCCTTGGCTCTTGCCAGCTGTGCCCCTCTGCTCCCCGGAGCACCACAAAGATGCACAGATGCTGAGGATGGGACTGATCAGGAAAATCACTCAGCCTTTGTACATGTTAGGGGGACAGGCCGAGGGCCCTCCAAACTCCGGGCCCTGTGGATTCACTGGGTCTCTTAGGGCTTCACTCTAGCTAGGGGCCTATACCAAGTTCCCAGATCTGCTCCCCAGATGTCCGAGAGGCATATTAAGGCTATAAGCATCTACTCAGGTGCATCACAGCCATGGGAGAAGCAGCTGGAGTCTGGCCTGCACTGTGCAGTGAGCCATCAGGCCAGGATGATCTAACAGCAGACTCCTCAGTCGGGGGAGGCAGAGGTGAACGGAACAGCTGGATTGTCAGGTCCCAGGGGGAGTTTGCAGTTAATTGACTTCCTCTTGACTTCAAAAGGGAACAGTGTGGGTCTGGAGATCATGGTGCGAACAAATAACAACCCAAGATGCCAGTGCACAGGCATCTTTCTGGTGTAACCTTCACCGGATTCAGGGGATCCTGGTCTCAGTGCAGGGAGAGGCAGCATGCACTTTTGTGTGGCACTACACCCAAAAGCTGTCCATCAGTGTTCCTTGTAAGCTGAGCACTTGGGCAGCCACCCAGAAGAGATTAAAATGCCTTCTGGCTGATTAGCAAAGCACCCACAACCTTCCATGGCTGGCAGCATTGATGGTGCACATGAGCATATGGCTCAATGCACATAAAATTTATTTCACACATGGATGGAAAAAATTAGAGGGAACATTGCCAGCCATGACCCTCAGCATATGCAGCTGCCTTCTTGCCTAGCAAGGTTTCACACAGAGAGCACACTACAGCAGGCTTTCAGTGAGTTTCCAGATGCAATTAATGCTGTTGCTTCAAAGCCCTTTGAGTTTTGGGATTTGCCTCCCTAAGATGGGCATCCCAAGACAACCATGCAAGGTTCTCTCCCAGGAAGGACCGAGTGGGAGGCGTCTCTGATGCGGATTCAGGGATCCTGAGATGAGGCAGCTATGCCCTGTGGGTGCTTTATACACCATAGAGTTCTTATAGTAGATGCACAGGATTTTCCTGCCTCTCGGCCTAGATCAAGGACAGTAAGAACAGAGCAGGGAAAACCAGCACCAGGGAGCTCCACAATAGATGGCAACTCACACTAATTTCCCAGGAAGGGCTGCATAGCAAGAATGTTCAAATACCAGGGCTGGGGTCTGCATGGTACCAAGTTCCCCCTCCCGCCAGTGCTGAGCCCTGCGGAGAGGGAGACCTCCCGGACTTCGGTGCCCTCATGGAATACATTGCAGTTTAATTATGACTGGAGCATAGGCACCTGGGTTTAACCAATGTGGCCTAAATTCCTACTCAGTGACCTGCCCTGATCCCCCCCTGCACCCAGCGCCTGTCACATTGACTTGGCAGCTCCAGAGAGGTCTCTTCTTGGCAGCCAGCAGGAGGTGCTGCTCCTGGCAGGGTGTGTATGAGGGATGGACTTGGGGGACACAATGGGACGCCTTGGAATGGCAAGCATGAATGGGACTCACAGGCCAGGAACCCCGGAGATCTAGCCCATCAGAGAGCAGGGGACAGAGCACAGCCAGCAAATGCACGGCTCATCCCAGCCAGGGCAGTGTACCCGTGGGGGATATGAGTGGAGGTGGTGGATGTGAAAGGCTGCCCCGCCTGGGAGCTTCCCAGGTGCTTGGATTATGTGAGGACGTGTTGGGGTTCCTCCGATCCTGCAGTCCCATAGCAGCAAGAACAGACCCCACCAGCCGGTAGAATAGAGAGGGGTTTATTGCTTCTCCCGGAAACAGCACAGATGCGATGTGTCTACAGGAGTCTGGGCCAGGATGCCTCAGCCCCCTTAAGATGGGGTCTCAGGGCCCCTAGATTCCAACCCCCTTCTTAGACTGGTTCCTTCATGATTCCAGCCCCAGACCGACCCTT